GCAGTGCGACACGATGGTGCTCGGTTGGATCATTCGCTCCCTGGCTCCAGATATCGGTCAGAGCGTCCTCTGGCTCAACTCGGCGGTCGAGGTCTGGAGAGATCTCAGCGAGCGTTTGAGCATCACCGATCTTGTTCGCATCGCAGACTTGCAGGATGAGATCTTCACTCTTAAGCAGGGCAGTATGTCTGTGAGTGAGTTCTTTACTAAACCTAGGGTTCTTTGGGATGAATTGATGACATATCGTCCGATTAGGTCTTGCTCGTGTGTTCCAAAGTGTTCTTGTGCTAAGTATGCGAGATCTGATCAGATTATTAGGTTCTTGAGAGGTCTTGGAGAGGATTTTGAGTCTGTTCGTTCCTCGATCTTGTTGATGGATCCTCTTTCCCCTATCAACAAGGTTTTTTCCATGATTGTTCAGTTTGAGCGTCAGAACAGGATCTCTACTACTGTTAGTTCCAATCCTTTAGCTTGTGCTGTCCAGAAAAACCAGTATAAAGGTCATAGTAAGTCCAAGCGTCCTGTTTGTTCCTTCTGTGGATTGACTAGTCATACTGTTGATAAATGCTTCAAGAAGCATGGTTATCCCCCTGGTTACAAAGGAAAGTCTAGGGTTAATGCTGTAGTTAGTGAGTCTACTGATGTTTCTGCTTCTCTTGAGAACGGGAGTCAATCTTCCGATTCGATTGTCCTAACACAACAGCAATATCGAGCTTTGGTTGCTCAACAGTTCTCAGTGAGTCAGGCATCCCCTGCTTCTGTTTCTCATGTCCCATTGGCCAATGCTTTCACAACTAGAGGTTCTACTACTGACTCTGCAGCACCTTCCTCATCTGGAGGTAAGTATGTTCTTGCTAGTAGTCATCTGCATATGAATGCAATTTCTTGGGTCATAGACAGTGGGGCTTCTGATCATGTCATTTCTAGCTTAGATTACTTTAGTCATTACTCTGCTGTTAATGGTGTTAGTGTTTCTCTTCCGAATGGTGCAAAGGTGCATGTCACTCACATTGGTACTGTTGTCTTGTTTGGTTCCTTAGAACTTAGGAATGTGCTTTATATTCCTTTGTTTGGGTTCAACTTAATATCTGTAAATAGATCAACAAAAGACACAGCATGCTCCTTGACATTCTTTCATAATCATTGCATCATCCAGGATCTAATCTCCCGCAAGCTGATTGGTACAGCTAGAGAGTCTGGTGGGCTTTATTGCTTCACACCTACTTTCAACAGCTCTCTTCCTTCCCCAAGCACTGCTTCCACACCAGAATCCAGTGGTTTTTCTGTTGTTTTTGATACTACCATTCATGACATTGATATTTTCCACTATAGGCTTGGACATGCTTCATGTAATCCTTTGCACACTATTATGTCTAAAGATAGTAGTATCACTTCTGATAAAACTAAACACTGTACTGTTTGTCCACTGGCCAAGCAGAAACGTTTGCCTTTTATGGTAAGTAGTTCTTATTCTCTTGCCTTGTTTGACTTGATTCGCATTGATATATGGGGTCCATATGGTGTTACTTCTATGGATGATTATCGATATTTTTTAACTATTGTCGATGATTTCTCCCGAAATACATGGGTTTACTTGATGCATAAGAAATCTGAAGCTCGTGACTTATTAGTTTTCTTTATTAGTCACATTCAGACACAATATAATCTCAAGCCTAAGGTTATTCAATCTTATAATGGTCTTGAGTTTTCCATGCCTTCATTCTATAGTTCTCTAGGCATAGTGCATCAGACTACTTGTGTTGCATCTTCACAACAAAATGGTCGGGTGGAGCGCAAGCAGCAGCACATTATTGCTGTTGCTCGTGCTCCGTTGTTTCAGTCTTTCCTTCCTTCTAAGTTCTGGAGTCATGCTGTCTTACATGCTACATTCTTAATCAATTGGCTTCCTAGTCCAGTCTTAGATAATAAGTCTCCATATGAATTACTACATCATTCTGTCCCTGATTACTCTACCTTTCGTGTGTTTGGTTGTTTGGTATACATGTCTACTTTGGCTCACAATAGACCAAAGTTTGAACCTAGAGCTCAACCTTGCATTTTCTTAGGTTTTCCATTTGCTACTAAAGGTTGTAAGTTATACAATCTAGTCACAAAGTCCCTATGTGAATCTCGTGATGTAGTGTTTCATGAAAGTGTTTTTCCTTTCTTTTCCAAAGATTTCTCGCCTGTTTCTTCTGAGTTTGTTTTTCCAAACATTTCAGTCTCATCAATGGATGGCATTGCATCTTTTGATGTTAGTGCTATTCCAGATGCACCTACTGTTTCAGCACCCGACCCACATTCTTTTCCTGCTTCTTCTACTTCTTCTGATTCTCCTAATGATGATGATGGAGTAGCTCCCCCTAAGTACCCTCCATCATTTGATGATGAACCAGACTGTTTACCTCCTCGAAAGAGGAAACCACCTTTTAAATTTCGAGATTATGTTTGCAATTCTGTGGTTGATTCTGCTATTTCCCATCCTTTATCTTCTGTTTTATCTACTAACAGACTTGCTGATCATCATTCCAAGTTTGTTTTAGTTGTTTCATCTGTTGTAGTCCCTAAAACTTACAAGGAAGCTTCCCAGCATGATAAGTGGAATGCAGCCATGGACTTGAAAATAGATGCTCTCCTTCGAACCAACACCTTCATAGTGTGCCAAAGCCACCAGATGTAAAACCCATTGGGAACAAATGGGTTTACAAGGTAAATCTGATGGAACAGTCGAGCGAGAAAAAGCTCAACTTGTTGCCAAAGGTTATACTCAAACACCAGGCATAGATTACTTAGATACATTTTCTCCTGTAGCTAAGTTATCTACTGTCCGGTCTTTACTTGCCTTAGCCTCCATAAAGGGATGGTATTTACATCAACTTGATGTAAATAACACTTTCCTTCACAGTGATTTAGTTGAAGATGTTTATATGAAACTACCATTAGGGTTAAAAATACCTGGTGATACTTCTAATTTGGTTTGCAAATTAAATAAATCCCTCTATGGCCTTAAACAAGCCAGTAGGCAATGGAATCACAAACTAACAGAATTCCTTTTACAATCTGGCTATACTCAATCAAAAGCTGATTATTCCTTGTTCACCAAACGTCAAGATGGTCTGTTTCTTGCTGTTTTGGTTTATGTTGATGATATTATTTTGGCTGGTGACTTCCTAAGTGAGATAGAGTCTCTCAAAAATAAGTTAGATGATGCTTTTAAAATCAAGGATCTTGGCAAACTTAAATACTTCATAGGCCTTGAAATAGCCAGAAATGAAACAGGGATATCGATTTGCCAACGCAAGTATGTGCTAGATTTATTGAATGATTGTGGTTTGCTTGGATCGAAACCTGTGGCTACTCCTTGTAATCCAGGTGTTCGGCTTTCAATAAAATCTGGTATTCTTTTAGAAGATTCTTCTGTTTACAGAAGATTAGTTGGTCGTTTATTATACTTATGCAATACACGCCCTGACATTGCATTTGCTGTTCATCAATTGACTCAGTTTATGAGTGCCCTGACTGATGTTCATATGGCAGCAGCCCATAGAGTTTTACACTATTTGAAAAGGCTCACCTGGTCGTGGTTTATTTTTTCCTTACAACACTGATCTGACTCTTAAAGCATTTTCTGATAGTGACTGGGCAGGTTGTCCAGATTACAGGAGATCTACAACTGGTTTCTGTGTTTCTTAGGGGGTTCCTTGATATCTTGGCGTTCCAAGAAGCAGCAGACCATCTCTCGATCATCAACCGAGGCTGAGTATCGAGCCATGGCTGATCTCACTTGAGAAATTCAGTGGTTGAATTATTTGTTTGCAGATTTAGGCCTTTTATTTACTAAGCCTACTGCCATGTTTTCTGATAGTCAATCTGCCATTCGAATAGCTGAGAACCCAGTTGCTCATGAGCGCACTAAGCACATTGAGTTAGATTGTCACTTGACAAGGGATAAGCTTGCTTCTGGTTTGATTAAGCTACTGCATGTTTCTACATCTAACCAGATTGCTGACTTGTTTACCAAATCTTTGCCTACTGCTGTGTTTTCAGGTCTTGTGTCCAAGCTGGGCACTCTTGACATCCATGTACCAGCTTGAGGGAGGGTGTTAGTATATAGCATAGTTATAGGATCAAATTGTAATATTTGTTTACTTTATGCACTGTATTGTAATTTGGTAGAATATGACTTATATATATTGTAAAGTTGAACAATGTAAATTTACTTTTGGTGAAATAAAAATTGAATCGTTTTCTCTCTCATAACGTCGAGAGAAACAAATCGGGCTATCCATTATGTGGCATCACCCATTCTGTATGTACTTGCATTTGCTTCATATGCTCTACCCATCCTCTCTCTCCATCTCTCTCTCAGTTTTTACGAGCCGCCTCTCTTTTGCTGTGGCCATTTCATATTTACCTTACATCTGCCTTGCTTAACAAGCAAATATTGCTCCAAAACAAATCAAAACCCCAATGATGGGGCCCTAGCTACTAGGTGTAACTAAAACCCCACGTCTACAAAAGACAGCAACTCCCAATAGCAATCAGCCGAAAGGAGAACCGCATTGAGAACCATATTGACCTTTTCCCCCAAATCCCACCATCCCATTCCCGTGCTGACACCTGGAACAAAAACAAAAAGAATGCGTCACAGATTTGGCTGTTAGGTTATTGCAATCAGTGATACATCTGAAGTTCACTTCTTCCTGTTGGGGAAGCTTCAGAAACTGCAACCTTTTTAGATGTTGGAACCCATATTCCTAGATGAGCATATATCAAATAGGGGATGATTGGTACTATTTGAAGATGGTGAGATCTCACCAAGAAATTGAGTGTAGTGATGAAGAAATCAAAACTTTAGTACATAGAGTTCAATGTTTCACACCAAACACTTCTTGGCTAGGACATGTAATGTAAACACATGCTTCCCACACTAAGAAACACAAACCACCTCAAGTCATAATCAAGTTAACCCATAAAAGTTTTCTACTCAAAAACTACTACCCCCACCAACTACAAGCTTTTTTTTAAACCTTTCTTAAAAAGCAAGAAACTTGGAACCAACAAAAAATGGGGGACACAGATCGATCTAGCAACTGATCTCCCAAATGAAAGCAGAGTTACTACACAGTAGAAATGCTGAAGCAAGAGGAGGAATCGTTGATCCATTACCTGAAGAAGGAACTTGAAGCATCTCTTCTTAGGACTGATCTGTTGGAGAAACACAATCAAGAACTGAAACAAGAGGTCATTCATCTGAAGTCACAGATCACAGCCCTCAAAGCTCACGAGAATGAGAGGAAATCGATGCTTTGGAAGAAGCTGCAGAGCTTCAATGAAGTAACCAAGAATGACGTCTCTCAGCAGCAGCAGCAGCAACAGCAACAGCAACAGCAACAACACTATCTTAAAGCACCAGCAGATCAAGGTAAAGAACAACAGTTGAATTCAAGGCCTAACCCTCAAATATTAAGGCCTGATTCCACTGTGCTGCCTTCAAAAGGAGCGGTTAAAGGGTCTAAGTTACTGCCGCCACCTCCTCCCCCACTGCCATCAACAACATTAGTCGGTTCAAAATCTATTCGTCGTGTGCCAGAAGTAATTGAGTTCTATCGTATGATCACCAAGAAGGATTTGCACACTGACCCAAAGAAGAATCATGTCGCCACATCACCACTAGCATTCACACCAGACATGATAGGAGAAATCGAGAATCGTTCTACTTATCTATCCGCGGTAAGTAAAGATGCAAACTTTACCATCTTTAAACCTTAGTTTGCCATCTAAATTTATGGATTGCAGCTATGATTTTGTACAGATAAAGTCAGATGTACAGAAGCAGAAGCAACTCATAAGTTCATTGAGCAAACAAGTGGAGTCTGCAGCTTTCAAAGAGGTATCAGAAGTGGAGGCTTTCATGAAATGCCTGGATGACCAACTGTCTTTACTCGTCGATGAGAGGGCAGTGTTGAAGCATTTTCCACAGTGGCCTGAACAGAAAGTTGATGCCATGAGAGAAGCTTCTTCCAACTACCAGAACCTGTGGAACCTAGAGTCTGAAGTTTCGGCGTATGAGGACAATCCGAAGGAGCCATTGGTCAAGGCTCTAGCAAAGATGCAAGCTTTGCAAGACAGGTTAAATTAAGCATCTTTATCCTAATTGGTAAGCACTCTGATCTGCATTCAGTGACTGATTTTTGAAGTTTGATACTTTTTTCAACAGGTTGGAGAGAAATGTTAACGGTATGGAGAGGAACAAAGAGAGTATGATGAAGAGATACAAGAACTTCCAGATCCCCTGGAACTGGCTGCTTAATACTGGATTCCTAGGACAGGTAAATAAGTAACCATATTTGAAGAAGTAAAAGAGGTTATTGAATTGCCTGGAATCGATATCTCGAGTTGCTTGGCGAGGTTCAAAAATGGATATTATATCACTCTAATCCGCCACTTTAAGTGGGAGCTCGCACATTAACGATTGATTAATGTTTAAACACGAGCATTCTCGAGTAACAAACCATATTATACCATGTAAAAGTACTAGTTTATCACAATAACTCAAGAGATTCAACTTTCAAGACTGGGTTTTATATCAGTTATTCATGGCCATGCTTGACTTCTTGGATCTCTTTTTTTTTTCCAGGTGAAATTGAGTTCTTTGAAGATAGCCCGAGAGTACATGAAGAGGATTACTAAAGAAATGAAGCTGAATCAGAACTCAGACGACAACAATCTGCTTCACCAAGGAGCTAAGCTGGCATATAGAGTGCATCAGGTAAGCTTCACAAGTAAATTAGCTCATGGAATGTTCAGATTAATCCATTTTCTTACCATTCATTCGACATGAGTCCAGTTTGCAGGTGGATTTGACACAGAAACCATAACTGCATTTCAGGAGCTTAAGAAGGCAGCCATGAATGGCCGTGAGCAATGATAGTATGCGTTGTATTTATTCACACAGAGTTAGGTATGTCAAATGAAACGTTATGTAATGATGAGTTAATTACGAAGCGAATATGGTGAGGCATGTAACATGTTATACGAATGTACTAAACAAAAGACCAGTTTTGTTTGTTCGTCACCATATACATAATCCATGTAATTGCTCTAAGAAGCTACTGGCTCCTCATCAATTGCGTTGGTATCGATGTGGGACTAGCAAAACCTTCCTGTACACCGTGCATCCAGCCGCCCATATGTCCATTGCCGGCAAAAGCTTCCCGGACACCAACACCTCCGGCGACGTGTAATCCACCATATTCCCCTGTAGTTGTCTCCCACTCTGGGGCCTGGACGCAGATTCCAAGTTCTCCTCTGTTTAAACCCGAACACGAGACTCAGCCTAACCCTTTGGGCATAATTTAAGCCCAAATTATAAAAAGGTTCGTTAGAGGACTAGCTTTTATCAACTCATGACAAAGGAAGTGCTGCAAAGTGGCAAAGTAGCAAGGCGTTTTACTACCTGGTGACTAAGACTTGTATAAAGCCCCTTACAGCTCTTAGATCTGGACACACCAATTTGACGGTCAAAAAGTGTGAAGAGCTTTTCAATTAATGACAAAGGTAGTTTGGATATTATGGAAAATTATGAAGTATACAAACTGGACTTACAAACAGTACAGTACAAACCATACAAACATACGAATAATACAAACTAGAACGACAAAACATACAAACATATTTATAAACAATACGAAACATACGAACTATACAAACTATACAAACTAGACCGACAAACATTACAAAACATACTAACGGTACAAAATGCCACTACATACAATACAAAACAGTAAACTTGTATTACAAATCAATGAATACAAAATATACAAATCACAACATAAAGTATACGAGCTAAAGAAACAAACATTACAAATTACAATGTATACAAATTAGTCATATAAACATTACAAACATAATAGATAAAAAATGACAAACTAAAATGACAAACGATAAAAACCGATTTGATACAAAATCACAAATCATACTTATAACATCACAAAATTGTCCAACAAATATAACAAAACATAAGTTGTCGTCGGAAATCTCCGATCGCCAGAAAATTTGTCGGTAATCATCTCTCTCTCTTTCCCCCTTGCGAGGAACTCCATTGAGGGGTAATATATTTCCCAAGCCCCTCTTTTGGTGAAAATTGCAACGGCGGCTGCCGCCTAGTACCGTAAAGAAGCGTTGGAAATTTTCTAGATCCCTGTCAGGACTCTGGGATTACTCCTACTCAGAAATCTGCTTGTGGTTGGGGTTAAAATGAGTGTATATAATACTAAACTTAGATTCGGTCCTGTTGGCCAGATACATTTATAAATGATATAAATAGCAATACTAATTATCCGAAGAAAAATATTTTTTCATTTGTTATCATAAAAGAGTTCATATATTTAATTATTGAAAAATAAAAAGAGAGCATGAACTATAATTTTTTTATTATATGTCATTATCAAACATTTCAAAAATCATGCAAGGGAATCAACTTCTATAAAATGTGTTCAGAGAAAATGTCAATTAGAAATTACCTCTTCCAAGTAATGAATATTATTTCAGATTTATCGTTTCTTGCTAATACTGATACTTTTTATCTCCACAATAAAGTATCTCTTCTTTCTTCTCAAACCTCAAGAACATAATTATCTCAATCACCGAATGTATTGCCTTTACCATTAGAAGACTATTCATCTTCTCCTGCACACAACTAAAAGCAAGAATTCAGTTGTATTTACAAATTAGTTTTGTGCCCTCCAGATGGGCGGCAAGTGTCATTTGTTTGTACTGTTTCTTCTATTATATGTCATTTTTTCAATGTTATCGGATTTCTACTTTTCATATTTATTTATTATTGTTATCTATTATCCACATTTCATATGATATGAGGGGTGATACATTTAATCCAGATTTTAATCATGATTAATAATAATGTCAAATAATAAAAGTTATATCTTCATTATCAGTTGACATATAGTATTCATGACCATCTGATCGTTGATTGACCAACAATTTTCAACTTCATAAACATGCATAGATTGAATATGAACTCAAGATTCTTAAGATAGAGTACTCATACAATCATCCAATCAAACAAAACTTAGCTAGGATTCCTCTAAACCCAAGTGAAGGGAAGTTACTTCATAGAAAATAGAAATAATGCATAAATATTATCTAGATCTATAATCTACATCTCGAAGCTTGATTCCTAGGTCCAATGCTATAGAAATCCTCGAATACATCGCATGGAATGTTCCCTAGTTGCTCTCTCTCTCTAGGGTTAGTCCCTTAGGTGTTTGGATTCCAAAGGATGGAGAATTTCAAGACACATGGTCAATAAACGATCAAGAGATGAAGGGGGAAAAAATTATAAATGAACACTTATCAATCTCCCCCACACTTAACTGTTCATTTACCCCCAAACAAACTTGACGCCAACAAGTGCAACTCACTAGACCTCCACAACAGAATTTGTCTTTTGATCATCAGTATTGGGCAACTAGCAACTTACGAGTTTAACTGAAGACAAGAGACTTCCCAACCATCTCAGCAAAAACACTGGTCTTGCATCGGTACAATGTCGAGTAGTAGACCTAGGATAGACAACTTGTGACTGAAGAGACTCTATAAAATAGTGAAAAATTAGGACTCGTTTTAGGTGCTCATTATTTAAAGACTCAAACTTTCGAGCTTTATTCATATTTACATTTCATTGCAACACACTTTATATTTTAAAAGTTTAAGGGCTCATTGCATTAAGCATTATCTCACGACATGTGTAGAAGTGCATTCACTCCTCTATCAAGCCCATGCGTGGAAGCGATGTAGGTGAGGTATCGGAAGTTTTATCCATGTCCTCCAAATACAAATTTTCCCTGTATACACTCCTCTCCTTAGGGTCTGCCTAAGTTCTTGATAGGTTGCAATGACATGTGAGATTTTTCAGAGCTGAGGTCTCTTGACTTGAGCAGATGATACAGTCTCTTCTCTATCAAGTTTTGTGAGAAGGAGAGGTGTAAGTGAGGGTGTCTTAAGTTTTATCTGTGCCTCCAGACGCAATCCTCATAAGTGCACTCTAGTCCTTAAGAGGAGCCTTAAACGAATGTCATAAGTGTTTTGACCAGTTGCAACATCACGTGATGTAGGGGTGGGCAAACGGTTCGGTAAACCCGAACCGAAACCAAATTAAACCGAACCAAAACCGAATTAATGCTATTCGGTTCGGAATTCGGAAGGAAAATGTGGATAGTTCGGAAACCAGGGTTCTTTCAACCGAACCGAATTTCCGACCGAAAAACCGAAATACTATAATTGCAAGCTCCAAATGGTGGATTTTTATGTTTGTAGTTGTTTTTAGACTTAAATATTTGAAATGTTTTATGACTTATGTGTTGAAAAGTTTGATTTTATCATTGATGATGCATATAATTGATATTTATTTTTTATATTAGGGTGAAAAATAATTTAAAAGTGAGAAAATACAAGTAGCTTCACAAATTCGGTTTTGGGTGAAAAACCGAACCGAATTATAATTCTGTTCGAATTCGGTTTGGGAGAATTCGGGGACCCGGTATTCATAATTTTGGTTCGGTCGAAACCGAACAGACCGAATGCCCACCCCTAACGTGATGCCTCTTTACATTGATTCAATTCACATTATACATTACACATTCTCATATTATAGCACTTTTTCAAAAACATTTTAGAGTCCACATAAACTTGAGTCTCGACACTACAGAAATCAAATGTCCTAAAACCACTAATCAACATATTACCAACATAATGTGAAAATGGAGGGGAGACCTCTCATATAACAACATCCTTCATAGAGCTGCACTATCATTCCTAGATCACATAGCATCATGAAAACTAGTAATTCAAATCACACTAAGCAGGTTAATGCATAGGACAATGTACTTGGAGCACAAAAAAATAAAAAAATTTATACAAAATACTAGGCACTAAGACGAGCATTAGTATCATCATTCATCACAGCCAAAATGCAATGGAACATCCCCCACCACTTAAGTACGACATTGCCCTCAATGGAGGAAATATAAGGAGGATAAAACGAGGTTACTATATCGGTGATGAACGATGGAAGGGGAATGATATGGGACAAGGGAACTTGCAAGATTCTAAAGAGTTGTCTTCGCTTTGCACACCCAAACACCAAAGCTCACAAAGGTTGAGTTATTGATTCAAAAATCAAAGCACAAACTAACTCAACCACATAGTAATTGTCTCTTAGTCGAGGTACTACCAGTACTCCTACACCATATGACGCATCGTCCTGGCAGGCTAATTTGAGCGATTTCATTGATAAGGATGATGATGATGGTGATGTTGAGGTTAGAGATGTCCCACCTCAAGCAGATTTAGGCATGAGGAAGACCGCGGGGGTCAGAATATCTTCTACGGCCTCGTCACACTTTCGTGGGCTCGATGGACGTTATACGGCCAGACCTAGTAGCGAGGAAGGCGGTAATGGAAATAGGAAGAGGAAGACCACGAGGAAAGAGATGTTGTGGTTACTTACATCGAAGTCTGAGATGTGTTCAGGCGGACCAGTGACTCCTGATGTGATCCCTAGCTTTGGAGGTCACATAGTCCTTGTACTGTGGACTTCCCCTGAGCAGGATCATGGAGTGTTGGAATGTCTCCGTAGAACAAAAGTTGTGGAGTCTTTAAGGTGATATAAGAGGAGTTTAGAGGGTTCCGAGGAGATGGTTGCAACCACAAGATTGTCTCACTTGACAGGGTGCATGATGGAACATTTAGACATGGCTCTATTGTCGACATTTTTAGAGAGGTGGCAGCCGGACACAAACACCTTCCACATGTTGTTTGGAGAGATGTCGATCCTTCTACACGATATGCATCACATTCTTCATATTCCGGTTGATGGAGAGCTGATGGTAGATGAAGCGTCGTTGAATACTCTAAAGTCAGACATGAGTGGTCTAGTTCGACTTTCAGTGGATGCTCATGTTGGTGGTAAGTGAAAGTCTAAGTGGTACAATAATGTTGGCATGCATGGGGATGGATTGTTGGTGTGTGGGGGAGAGCTAAAGATTTAGGTGCAGTGTTACCTATTTGTGTTGCTAGGATCCACACTTTTTGTGGATAAGAGTCGCGATCACCTTCGTCCTGCGTTGTGGATCGTTTAGCTCCCTTGTTGCATGCGATGGACCGAGGTCAGCTTCTGGAGCAAGCTGGTGATTACTATGATATGGTAGCTATTATGGGACAATCCAAGTACCACATCGGAAATATAAGGGAAGAAACCCTTGTATATAAGTGTCCACCCAGCTCAATTAGCACGAGGCCTTTTGGGGGAGAGCTGAAGATTAAGGAGATGGAGGTGCAGTGTTACCTATTTTTGTTGTTAGGATCCAC